CCAATATCCTATATGCATTCCTCTTCTCCCCCATTCGTGCTACATGACCTACCCATCTCATCCTTCTTGACTTGATCATTCTAATTACACTTGGAGTAGAGTACAAGTTACGAGGCTCCTAATTGTGCAGTTTTCTCCAACCTCCCGTCACTTCATCCCTCTTCGGTCCAAATATTCTCCTCAGCACCCTGCTCTCAAACACCCTCAGTCTATGTTCCTCCCTTAATGTCAGAGACCACGTTTGACCCCCATACAGAACCACAAGCAAAAGTACATTTCCGTATATTCTAATTTTTGCTGTTTTAGAGAGCAGACGAGAAGGCAAAAGGTTCTGGACTGAATGGTAGCAACCACTGCAGAATTCAATCTCCTCTTAATTTCCTCCTGAATCAGGTTTTGATTTGTTATAGATAATAACGACGTTATATTTCCAAAATTCGATCTGAAACAAAATGGCCCCATACCAGTTTTCTCGTTGAACACACAGGGAATTTTCTTCCGTAAGGTTGCATACTCACGACATGACTTAGCCTCAAAGATGTTTCAGACAGACAACAATCTGACAAATAATATACAACGACCATATTTTCCCCCCATATTTCCTGAAGCAATCAGTACAGGGGGGGGGGGTAAGACATTTCTGAAATATTCAGTAACTTTTCCAGTACTACTTAGAGCAATCTATAATTCATATTAATCCTCATAATCGTCTGCATCACCACAACACTGGAGACCTGTGCAACAGATCAATAATCTATTAAATAAAAGGCACTCAGACGTGTCGAGGTTCTCGCAGCAGTGACGCCGTACACATCCCTCCGAAATGTCACCTAACTTCTACCGGACTCCATGGCATCACATATGTGTAAGTTGTCTCAAGCAGGAGCTTTTATTCTGGAGGTTCCCGGCTTGATTCTTGGTCGGGACTAAGTTTACACTGACTGAGGTTTTCCATTTTGTTTTTGCCTGTTCCGCGCAGGCAAGATGCTGAGATAGTACCTTAACATATTTCCAATTTATTATTCACTGTCATATAACAATCCGACGCTGTACATTGTCTGAGCCGATGGTAGCGTCGTTAAATAAATCACAAGTTAAGTAAAACTTATCGGTCTCACGCTGGACTTCATAAGGCCATTTCGCGTCCTGTAGCATTGAAGACGGCATTCATTTGCCTATGCAGCCACGCGCTGTATTACGTTCTGCTGAGTAACGTGTGACGCGTAGGGAGAAGCGGAAGTGTTGCTCCATGCATTCATTCTTCTCTGCAACCCTCCTGAAGCGAGTGGAGGGTCAGTAAACAGGGGGAGATGTGGCGGTGAGGGGAGAAGTGGAAAAAGTTGACTCAGGACGAGAGGGTTTGAAGGAGTTTACGATTTGGCAGCGGACGACGAGGAATAGGACAAGAGAAGGAGAAAAGGAAGGGAGGAGAAGAATGAGGGAGGGGGAGGTGAAACAGAACAAAGAGGATGAGAAGGAATAGGGCCGCGCCATAGCTCAAGCGGTTAGTCGCTGGCGACCCGGGTTCGATCCCGGGTCTGGTCAAGTGGGATTTGTGGTGGACAAGGTGGCGCTTGGGCAGGTTTTCTCCGAGTACTTCGGTTTCCCCTGCCAATCTTCATTCCACCAATTGCTCCACAATCACCCTCACCTATCATCTGGGGCTGGTACAATAGGCCAGAAGTGGCCGCAGTACAAGGGGCTTAGTCCCACCCCACTAGCAATAGAGAAAATGAGGCGGAATAAGAAGATGAAGGAGCAAGAAAGAATAGGGCGAAAAGGGCGATGAGGAATAAAGGGATGAAGAAGAAAGGTAATAGGAGGGCGAAGAGGACAACATGTCAACAATATGAGTTGGTGCAGAGACAATGCACACACACTCTCTTAGCCGATTGTTTCGTCTGCATTACCTTACAAAGGAAAGAAACTGTTGTTCGGTAGAGCTGGTACATGCACGCGTTGCGTAAACGTCCCCGTGTTGAAGCGGGTTCCAATACCTCCACCGTAGCCCTGCGAGTCGAAAGGGGCGACGAAAAGGGAATCCACTGCCTGGGGGCATAACTGGGCCACCCTGTTACTGGGGGATATAAATAGAGGGATCTGGCCCTCCAGGTTGGGGGAGTCTCTAATCTGAGACAGTAAAATATGTCCATGAGTCCCGTGTGACTCTAAACCAAGAAACACTGTGCTGGCGAGGGCCGGCAGTCACGGTAGCCGAGCGGTCTAAGGCACTTTCTTCGCTCGCTCGGAAGCCGGGATCGTGGGTTCGAATCCCACTCAGGTCATGGATAATTGTGTGCGTTTTTCTGTGTTTGTGTAGAGTTAGAACTGATCACCCGCCCTAGGAGTCCTACCGTATGTCTAAGATCTAGTAAACCGAAGTGAAACGGAGAGTTTCATGGAGATAGGCCTAGGCCCAAATGAGGGCTGTAGCGCCAATGAAAAGAAAGAAATAATCACTTGTGTAGCATGTCACAGTAGCCTCGCATGAAATGTCTTCGCTACATCGGACGGTGGGATTGTGAATTCGAATCCACTCGAGCCATGGATGTTTGTGTGCGTTTATTCTGAGTTTGTGTTGTCTTGTGTTTAGGTAGCGACCTTGGGACGGGCTGATCACCCGTCCAAGGAGTCCTATGGTCTGTGAAAGATTATTACGGAACTGGACCTGGGCCCTGAATGAGCTGGAAAAGCCCAGTGTGTAGTGTGCCCTCAGTTATGTCCGTTATACAGTTTCAAAATCTCCACGGTGATGCTTAATCAAAGTTGTCGGAACCGTTTCAAGCGGAAATGGTCCAGTTTGTTTTCGGGCCCATACGAAGTACCCCTACTTTCAAAAAACACTTTTTCGTATCCACGTGCATTATAAACGTGCAAATCCTTCCAATTCTTAGATCGATCTTCCGACCGTCACACCGCTTTCCCACGTACATGAGGATGAAAGAGGAGACTGGATGGCTCAGTCGGTATAGGGACTGGCTGGAAGTTCATGGCTCGATGCACAGGAAGGGGAAAGAAAGTTTTTAATTCTCCAGCGTCGAGACCGGCTCTGGGGCTCATCCTACCTCCTATCCAATGGCTACCGGAGGCCAGGGCGTGAATCTGACCATTCACCTCCATCTGGTGCCGAGGTCAACACATCTTCATGACAGGAACATTAAGAAACTTTTTTTGGTGTGTTTAAGATTTTGTTTGAAGATTTCGTTTCAACCTCCTAGCGCTCCTCATTCTAAAATATATTTCGGGAAAAGAATTTGGTTCATTATATAACTTTGGGACTATGTCCCACTTGTCACACCCTTCCATACGTCAGGACCGCGTTCTCCGTATTCAGGTTAGTCATGCACCCTGAAGATGGAAGCACTACGCTCCTCTAAAATGTCGGTAATGACCTAACGAAAAACATGGCGTTACTTCCAAGAAGAAATATTCTTCAATTATGGAACTCTAGTTCAAATAGAAACTTCCTATACAAATTATAACAGGGCACTGTGTTACAGTCAGAAGGTCGCGGGTTCCATTTCCGATTACGTCCTAACATTTTTCAATGGACCCAATCCTTCCAGCCGCACTATGCCTCTGGGGTTCGACTCAGCCTCTAACAAAAATGAGTACCAGGAATCTTCCCGGGGTAAAGGGCTGCCGGCCAGCTCGTAAGGCTGACAACTTCAACGCCATCTGTGAGCCGACTGTCTAGAAAATGTGGCAGCCTCGACGTCTCACTACTCTATGGGCCTCCAAGGCCTGTTACAGGGATAGCTTTATTTAACCTCACCGCCATCTGTGAGCCGAGTGTCTAGAAAATGTGCGAAATTCGACGTCTCAGTACTCTATGAGCCTCCACGGCCTGTTACAAGGATAGAGCTTTCTTTACCTTTTTACCTTTTACAAATTTTAATGGTAGAAGTTATAACATTAAACAATTTGAGGCAGTAGTATTTGACCTCTGAGATTTTCAGGAATCTGTGACATCCTATTCCTCCCCCCCCCCCCACTCCACCTATACACGATAAGACTATATGTTTCGCCCANTTCCCCCCCCCCCCCCACACACACAAATCGTGGAAAGATATATATTGCGAACATAACAGTGCCCTCGCTGATCTCTGTGTATGATTCGTGAGTAGATACTTGTTAAAACAACAGAGTACGGCGCAAGGGATTCGGTACTGTATATAAAATATATCTATATATATCATATCCAGTTATGTTTGACGTTAGGTCCTCACAGCTGTGACTATAAAGACGTGACGCCATGCAGTCTAGTAGAAGTTCACCGACGTTTCGGGAGGAATGTACTTCCTCCATCTTCAAGTTTTCTCGCTTGGTTTAGTCTTCGAGTCCTTAAGATGAAGGCGGTACTTTTTCCGAAACTTCGATGAACCACTGAGCTACAAGACGTCATGTCCTAGTCATATTTCAACAATATTCTTTACTGTGTTCAATTGAACACATATTTTAATCAAACAATGTGTTGAACACCAGATGATGAATTATCCTATAAAAAGCTGTAGAGTATGAAAATGTTCTATAGGACTTATTGGTAACAATAGCATATGTATTAGATATCTAATAGACATTAAATGTAATATTAAGTAGCAGTTAATGTAACAATTAAAATATATCCGTATTTCCGCACAGAACTACCATGTTATAAGCTCCTGGAAACATCCGCGTATATCCAAAACGCGTAAAACGGGGTATGCACCGAACGAATAATTAGCATGGTGGAGAACTAGTAAACGATACGTCCATACGGTAAACTGCGCGCGCAACTCAATGGGCACGCGCCGTAACTTCTAACGTGGCCTTGGCTAAGACACTGCTGCTCCTGGTGACGCAGAAAAGAAACAAATAAGCGAAGAGGCTGATAATGAGAGCAAATATAACAAGTCATTTATATATACACATAAAATAAGACAATGAATTGCACTATTGTTTATAGTTAAACAACATATGGACAGTTGATCTTTATAGGAATAATATGTTTGAAAATATTATGAATTTTAAAACGTTCATTTTAATAAGGAACTCAACAAAATAATTATATTACAATGCTGATTTTCCTTTTTTATTAGCTACATAAATGTTCATTGGGTATATTAGACAAAAATTGTAACCAAATGAAAATATTTCTTGTTGACACAGTCTAAGTTGAACGGTGTATTCTTCAGACACTCTCCCCTTTATTCCACTTCAATATCGCCCGTGGAACGTCGATATGACTGCAGCTGCAAGGAAAAGGAATAGAATGGCGATTAGACATAGGAAAGAAATAATCTCTTTCTTACACAGTCTCCAGCCAAGTGCGTGTTCATCACCCTCACTTCGCCGCCCGTCCCGTGCAACTCTGTCCATTTATTAAAAGTCACACTTGGAGCGCTCTTTCCCTTTCCTGAATATTTATTATAGACTACATGTTTCGGCCTAACTGGTCATCGTCGGTGCTGCCTCTTGTGACTGCTGCATTCTGCATTTTATGAGCAATGTTAATAAAACATATTTTTTTCTGCTTAGATTGCCATGCCGTGGTTAATTCTGATGTGGTTCTGGTGTAAGTTTTTGTGTGTTGGTTTCTTTCTTTCGCCGTGTGTGTGGCTGTTCTGTTGTTTCCTGCAGTACTTCTGTTTTCATACAGGAAGTAGCGTGCGTGTGCTGCTACCTGGTGTTCATTTCCTGCAATAGTTCTGAACATTTGGTTATGTATATCAATGTCTGTGTCATTCATGTGTAAGTTTTGTACTGCTTTGTATATGTTGTACTTTCTAATATATTTCAATGTTTTCCTTTTTTATGTGCTCTTATAATGTCCATTGTATCTGTTATGTTTCCGTATGCATGTGCCATATTTTTTTATAGTCTCATTTTGTTCGCAATCTGTACTAATACATTCAGCAAATTGTTATGGTGTACTTTGACTTGAAGAGGAGAACTCATTTGCAATCTTCTTTAATGAGTAGGCTTGAGGCCTCGTGTGGTTCTTGGGGGAGTGCTTACTATCTAGATCTTTAAACTAGAATTACTAGGATGCTATCACAGTAGAAATCTGGTGGGCAGATCATTTGGCAGATGTCTTCGCAGTCGCCTGAAGGCCGGTGGCTCCGTAAGGCGGGCGGCTGGGTTGTTTGGGTGTGCTCTGAGCCGAGTATTGTATAGGGAGCTGTATCGGCGAATTTCTTCTCTAAATGTTGGTGTTTGGAGATCTCTTCGGATAACAATGTTCGGTACGTACCAAGGTGCGTCCACTACCATGCGCAAGGCTTTAGCTTGAAACCGTTCTAGAATAGCTATGTTTGAGTTGGAAGCTGTACGTGTCATCTTTAACGTGTAACTTGCATATCCCGAATTACTATTAATATTTCTAATCGCTTGGATGTGTGTTATTTGTATCTAGTGTGGAATGTTCTTCCTGTTTATCCTAAAACATTTCTGTTGGTAGATGTCACTTTTGTTGTATGTGCCTGGTCGTGGATGTTGTTTTATTATGTTGTGTATTGTGTTCCGCGTTCTTAATGTTATTTTTATTTGCGTGTACTTGAATAGTTTTGTATTTTTTTTTGTTTTGTTTCTTTTCTGCTGTATCTGAAAGTGACCCATTTTGTTACCCGTTGTTGTGGATCAATGTGTGTACTCTGTTTCTGTGAGGCGTCACAAGAGAGCAGCAGTTTTCATCTACAAACTTACACACTTGATGAGAGCCAATTAGGCAGAAACATGTAGTGTTAAATAAATATGTCGAAGAGACAAAGAGCCTTCGAAGTGTGAATTTTAATATAAGGACGAACTGACGGTGAACTGAGAATGTAAAATGGGAATACAGAGTACAAGGGGATGCTGCAATACAGTATTATGAACTCCGAACTTACAGACCGAGGAAATGATACTGTGTTGCCTGTTCAGGGCTATCGCACGCCCCATGGAGCGACGGCACATGAGTAGAGGCAATGGTGGAATGATGATTAAGAGGGGCAAACAGAAGGAACAAGAAACGTGCCTCAGTGCCCCAGATCTCACATGAAATCACGTGGGAGAACAAATCAGTGACGAAATTGGGGACACGTTTCGAAAGTGACTCCATCTGTTATTCATCTTTGTGGCAGTTTCTTTATTATCTGGGGTAGAAGAGGACTGCATAGAGCATTTTGGTGGGAAATACAGAAGGAAAGAGACTACTAGGAAGATCTAAACGTAGGTGGGAGGATATTAAAATGGATCTTAAAGAAATAGGATGAGTTGGTATGGACTGGAGTGATCTGGTTCAGGATAGGGACCAGTGGAGGGCTCTTGTGAACACGGTAATGAACATTCGGGTTCCATGAAACATTAAGAAATTAAGCAGCTAAGCGACTGGCGGCTTTTCGAGAAGCACTCAGCTCCATGGAGATAGTTACTTAGTTAGTTAAACACTTGACGTGGAGGTGTTTATGATCATTGTTGACGTTTCGGAGAAACGTAACAGCCCCCCGTTTTCGGGCTAAAGATTATGCTAAATAAGCAGGGAATAAGGCGCAAGTAACGGTTCACTCCAATTGTTGGCTGCTTTCTTGGCGTACTATTCGACAGTGAAGATGGAGACAGTAAATGCTTCCGAAACTTTGGTATACTTCTACCACGTCACATGGCGTCACTTTGTGAAGATAATAGTTTTCACATGGCAGAAATCTTGTAAAGATCTTAACTTCAGATAATTTTATTATTGAACCCCGTGTAATATGCTTATATGCATAGAGGCACGTGACCTGGGAGTTAAACTCTACTTCCGAAAATCCGTTTTCAACAAGGCAGAAAATCTACAAAGAGTAAGAATTCTCTTGCGTCCGCTTTCTTTTCTTTGATGAAAGTAATCGTCACCCTTTGCCCATTTTAACCGAACCTGGAACAAATCGACAAATTTCAGTAAAACTTGCTAATGCCACATTTAATAATAATCAGTTGAGCGGCTCTTCAGTTGCGTGTGGATAAAGAAAAGGACAGGGAAAACTGGTGAATGTTTCAAATTCCTCGTTGCAAACGACCAAAGGAAAAAAAATAACACGAATACGCCTGTTTTTATGAGCCGGGATAGCGCAGCCGGTATAACGACTGGCTATGGGCTGGACGACCGAGAGGTCGGAGTTTGAGTCCCGGTAGAGTAAACAATTTTTACTTCTCCATGTCGTCCAGACTGGCTCTGGGCTCCACCCAACCTCCAATCCAATAGAAACCGGGGGTTCCTTCCCGGGGGTAAAGCGGCCGGGGCGTAAAGCTGACCACTCACCTCCAACTAGTTCCGAGATCAAGAAAATGTGGAGCTATACATGACTCCCCCATATGTCTTAATGGCGTAGTTCTTAATTAGTTAAGCACAGCGACAACTTTTCCTATTTACCTTACACCTATTTTTAGGGCCGAGCCATAGCTCAAGCGGTTAGTCGCTGGCTTCCCACCAAGGCGGCCCGGGTTCGATCCCGGGTTTGGTCAAGTGGGATTTGTGGTGGACAAAGTGGCGCTGGGGCAGGTTTTCTCCGAGTACTTCGGTTTCCCCTGCCAATCTTCATTCCACCAATTGCTCCACAGTCACCCTCACCTATCATCTGGGGCTGGTACAATAGACCAGAAGTGGCCACAGTACAAGGGACTTAGTCCCACCGCGCTAGCAATAAAAGAAAATAATACACCTATTTTAGGTTACGTTGAGCAATTGAAATTTGAATGTAATTGAGAGTATGTATGTATTTTGAGGTTATGCTGAGGGCCACTGAAACACGTGGCTCGAGCTGTACAGTATATAGACTGTACTTTTAGACTGAACCTATGGGCGTAGGAAGCATAAAATTCATGTACACAAATACGCTGGATACAGCGTCTACAGGAGTATGGAGTCTAATACGGAGAAGTAATTTCGTGCGTAAACATCGATTCCCGTTTCACATCAAAATCCACACCTACCAGTGTGCATACAATATACTGCCATAGCTGAAACTACCTGCGAACAATATATCCTCCAACGGAACTTGAAATCAAATTGGTTTGTTAGACTCTCTTTGATTGGTACAAATGAGCAGCCACTTTTGCCTCCGAAAATAGATGGCAGTTGTAGTATGCGCAGAAGACGACTGCTCTGGGTTATACGCAAGTTCAAGTATGAAGAGAACTGGGGAGGGGAGGGTGTTGCTGCTCAATTTGGGGGAGGGGACAGGGAACGACGCACAGTAACTAATACCCTGTTATGACCCATGTACACCCTACAACCCTTATCTCAATGGACTCTGTTGAGAGCAACCAGGTGTAAAAACATGGACAGTACCTCCCTACGTTTCTTCGATAAGTCCAGCTACTCTGCTCACATGAGTGTATGTTTACATAGGCCACTGCTGTTTGGAGGTGAACATAGTAATAGAAAGAACGACGGAGATGTCTTTTCTGAGGCCTCAGTATAAGGAGAAGAGCTTTGGAATGGTTGACATAGGCAAGGCGTGCTGGAAGGTTGGGCATAAAGGATTAAATGTGGAGCGCCTAGTCCATAGGGATACTTTCTGGGACCTGAGTACACTCGGCATTGCGCATGTCTGGCACGGCAACAAGTTCAGTGCGAGCAGCACGAAGTGACGACCTCGAAGCAATACTTGCCCATTGCCTCAAGAAGGGTGAGAGGCGGTTCGCGGATGGGACGAGAGACGCTGACGACGCCGGGGACAGCGCCCCGTAGCCCTCCGGCTGTATCATCGTATCCTCGCCGTCTTCTGAGCCTGTTTCTCGTGCTGGAAACATCAGTCGCTGCTGCTGGTCGGAATCTGCCCCAGGGAGGAGCAGCACTCCCTCGTCTGCTCGCTTCCCATGGCCCCCGAAACACGAATGTCCAAACGATGAACACCCACCTGCAACGAGAAACATGTCCGGCTTAAGATCACCGACGTTTAGGAGGAACATACTGGCAAAGAATCGGACAGAGATCTCTGTTTTCATCATCCCAGTTGCTAATTGGCTTATTCATCGAGTTTCAAGATGGAGGCAGCGGGTTTCTCCGAAACGTCACGGCGTCACATCCTACTTCTAATAACACTGGGATTGTTCTTGTCACATCGGGGCATAGCCGCGTCGTGTACTGAAGTTTCCCAGCGTTTCGGTTTGTAAAACAACTGACGTCTTCAGAATGAATACGGCAGAAAGAGGATGTAACCCAACTGTAAGTCTTGTAGAGGACGTTGATTAATTTAATGACACTGTTAGTATCGGAGACCGCCTCTGTTGTCTAGTGGTCAGAGTTCCTGGATACAGAGCCAGAGATACGGGTTCGATTCCCGGCGCTACCAGATTTTCTTGAGAAGTAGTGGGTCTGGAACGGGGTCCACTCAGCCTCGTGAGAATAATTAAGGAGCTATTTTAAGGAAATAGCGGCTCCGGTCTAGAAAACCGATATTAACGGCCGTGGGGATTCGTTGCGCTGACCACGCGACACCCTCTATACACTAACGTTGGCACTAACTTCGCCGACAAGCGGCGGTCGCTCCGTCGGTATAGTTCGCTTGCGGACTAAAACCACGGAGTGTTTTTGTCTGTAGATGAAACTAACCATATTTCGTCAAATAATAGGGTAACTGAAGAATAATGAACTGGTAAGGATGACCTCTGCCCTGATAGACTGAAGAAAATCGTGTGGGCCGGTGTCCCGGATGAGATTCGAACCCAACATGTCCAGAATACGAGTCTGGAGCAGCACAGTATGCCTTGTAATGGGGTCTAACATCATCGCTATAAAACTCACTGATAATATAAGTTGCCGTGAGGTGTAAATATGTGGTACAGTGAAGTTTACGGGACTACTTCCCGTCTTAAATAGGATTAAGAATTTTTAAAGCCTTTGCTAAAGTCTCATTTACATCACGTTATTAAAATTACCAACTGAGTTAACTGTCTTTATATGAACTACACCATTTAGTATTTGTGTGAGACCCAGCGGTCTCACACAAATACTTCCTTAACACGAAGAGATGCAGGCCGTACATGGAAAACACCGCGAAGGCTTCCTTCAGAGTGAAATAATTCACCTGAGCCTGCACACATGTCTCTTGTCGAAAGGGGGAAACCCAGGGCTATGTCCCAATGCTTCTTGGGTTGCTGGAACGCTGCCCCTGGAATTTATTTTAAAAACAGTGACACGAAACGGTAAACAAGAAACTCTGGGAAGAACTAACCGACTATTTTCCTTTGATACCAAAGGACAGCATAGAAAACGATGCGCCCTATAATTCTTCTATTCTTGCGTGTGTATTCGTTGCCGCGGTAACGTTTTTACCGAGCTGTTTCGTAGCAACGGTTGGGGATACATATACAGACACACAGACTGATGGGAGGGATTTATGAGATGGGCCTAGATGCCATGATATACAAACTAAGTTTCAGAAACAGAGGTTCAGACATTCGAAACTTGATAGGGGGGACACAGAGGGACACAGACAGCAAGGTGATCTCATAAGCCTATTTTCTTTTTTTCAAAATAAGGAAAGTAGGCTATGAAAACTAACCAAACTTCTGTTCTTGTTACTAGTTTCTTTAAAAGGGACAAATGCATTTCAATAATAAAGTGCAGACTTCACGAATACAACTGAGAGGTAAGATTTAGGTAAGGTACAGTTGCCCTGTGCTCGACGAATTAAGCACTACGCCATGAAGGCGTATGGGGGAGTGGATGTATAGATCCACATTTTCTTGACCTCGGCACTAGTTGGAGGCGGAAGGTCAGCTTCACGGCCCGGCCGCTTTTCGCCCCCGGTACACACTGGTTAGGAAGTTGGGTGGGCCCAAGGGCCGGTCTGGACGACGTGGAGAAGAGAAACTTCTTTACCCTACCAGGACCAGAACTCCGACCCCTCCGTCGTCCAACCGGTAGCTAGTCTCTATACCGACTAAGATATCCCGACTACCGGCAGAAAGGAGGGAAGGAGATAATTATAGGCAAGGGATAAATAATAGGAGGCCTACGTTGAAGTAAATTGACGTTTGGAATAAAAGTACTGCCTATATATATTTAGAGTTTCTGCCTGCTTCCTGATGATCACTTGCTCTTCGACCGCCCTGTTCGCTGCTTTTTACCGATATATACGGCGTCACATTCCAGTAGACAGCACCCTTCAATCGCATTACTTCTTGTCGTCAGCTACGTGTCTACGTGAGTTGAGAACCCGATATTCATAAAAATAGGTAATCTTTCAAAATGTCACATTGCCCCAAACTACCCCATTTACTGCAAAAAGGGCCCTGCTCACTCATTTGGTTCTCTTTACTTATAAATTACTGAGAGATAAGAGAAACTCAAAATTTCGGTCTGAAAGCCTGAGCAAAAGATGATACTAAAACTGATTTCAAATATTTGACTGAGGGTTTCGTTCTGTGAACACGGTAATGAACCTCCGAGTGTCATAAAAGCCGGTGAATTTCTTAACCAGCTAAGCAACTACTCTCTCCATAAGAATGATTCTCCTCCACTTACGCTGTCACGTCGAAAAAAATTATTGATACTTATGCTTTGTCTAAGTGGGAACGTTAGGGCACCACGCTACAAGCCGGAAGGTCACGGGTCCCGATGAGGTCACTGGATTTTTCTATTTTCCTACACTTTCCAGCCGCACTATGGGGCCCTGGGGTGGACTCTTAACAGAAATGAGTATCAGGAATCTTCCTGGAGGTAAAGGGTGGCCGGCGCATAAGGCTGACAACCTCGCCGCCATCTGTGAGCAGACTGTTTAGAAAATGTGGGAGCCTCGACGTCTCACAAACTTATAGGTCACCACGGCCTGTTACAGGGATAGCTTTACTTAACTTCACCGCCATCTTTGAGCAGACTGTCTAGAAAATGTGGGAGCCTCGACGTCTCACAACCTTATAGGCCACCATGGCCTGTTACAATGGAAGTTTTACCTTTTTATACTTTGTCTAAAAGATGATTGAAACTACGTCATAGCTTGTGTAGGCAAATTTACGGAAGAAAAAGTCCCTGTGTGTGTTGAACGAGATCCGCAGTATGGCGATTTTGGTTGCCATTTTAGGTCGAAAATAAAATCTAGTATAATCTTATAACAATGACGTAACGACGATGACGTAGATTCACAGATGTTCTAGAGAGTGTATCATGACTTTAGGACAGACACAATTACGTACATTGCAATACGTTCTGAGCAATTTGTCATTCTGAATCAAGATTTATGGACAAAATGGCGGCGAGGAAACGTTCCTTTACGCCAGTCTTTCTTAATGTAATCTAATTTAATCTAATCTAATGTAACAAGAGGTCCCTGTTCCCTGGGCACTGTGGACAGCACTTCGCAATTTAACTCCATTTCAGTCTGTCCCACACAGAATCTGCTGTTGATCAGAGTAAAAGTAGGGGACAGGAGGAGTTTGTTTCAGTTTGAGACTTTCATCACTGAAGCAGACCTACTAGCAACTAAACTGCGATCTGTTGCGTCTAATATATACAGGTAGGCTCCAGGTAGGGCGACCGGAGAGCATGAGTTCAATTCCCCACAACAGTAGAATATCGTACAGACCGCCTCAGGGGCCAACTAAACATGAAAAATGGGTACCTGCGTTTCTTTATCAGGAGGTAAGTTTCTGAGTAACATTTTCATATTCCGTAAGCAGTTTTATTTTGTTATTTCCGGTTTGAAAATTATAGGCCATGGAAAAACCGACAATAATTTTGAATCATGTTGTATTTTCTGTCGTTTCTCTTAAATTCTTGCATCCTAATTTCCTCGATTTATTTCTGCATCGATATGTCTATACTGTTTGAGGGAAATCTCGTTCCCCCAAATCTGTTCCTTCACACCTCACTCATCTCTTCCCTACGCATGGTGCAAATCCCCTGTTCCTTGTTTCAGCCTCCCACATTCCATCACACTACCCCTCCTCTGGCTTCCCCCTTCTCCTTCTTCACCATACTTTGGACTAGTTATGAATCTCCTCATTATGCAAGTGTCGCCAGCAACTCGGTGCTACGAAATTAGGTTCTGTGTAATTCACGTCTGGAAAAGGCAATTACATTTCCTCAAATTTGAGATCTGTAAATAAACGTGTCTGTACTTCGAATAATAAGCTTTGATTCTAGTGCAAGTTAAAGTTTTAAAGCACAGTAAAACTAAAAAAGTAAAGCTATTCCTGTTAACAGGACGTGGAGACCCAAAGGGTTGTGACACGTCGAGGCTCTCACATTTTCTAGACAATCGGCTCATAGATGACGATGAGGTTAAGTAAAGCTATCCCTGTAACAGGCCGTGAAGGCCCATTGGGTTGCGAGACGTCGAGGCTCCCACATTTTCTAGACAATCGGCTCATAGATGTCGGTGAGGTTAAGTAAAGCTATCCCTGTAACAGGCCGTAGAGGCCCATAGGGTTGTGAGACGTCGAGGTTCTCACATTTTCTAGACAATCGGCTCATAGATGTCGGTGAGGTTAAGTAAAGCTATCCCTGTAACAGGCCGTAGAGGCCCATAGGGTTGTGAGACGTCGAGGTTCTCACATTTTCTAGACAATCGGCTCATAGATGTCGGTGAGGTTAAGTAAAGCTATCCCTGTAACAGGCCGTGGAGGTCCATAGAGTTGTGAGACGTCGAGGCTCTCACATTTTCTCTAGACAATCGGCTCACAGATTGTGGCAAGGTACTTCAAAGCAGTGAGTTACAGAGCTCTTAAGGTTAGAGGTAAAAATATTTGTGCAAGGCGCCTGTTAATTCATAAACAAAATTAATAAATTTATTTTAAAAAAGAAAGAATGTACAAAATATTATTAGTATAGTCTTTTAGAGTTAAATTAAGGGAGGCGTTCAAAAATCGCTGGGAGCCCGCTATGACAGAACAAGAGGGCCGGATGGGCATTGCC